ACGGAGTTAGCGTGAACTATCCCGAAGGGTCCCCAGAGTAGTCCCGGGTAGTGCCGGAGACATCTGGGAAGGTTTTACGCCAATCATGCCTACACGTGCCCCATTGCCATAGGCTCTTTGTGGGTTGTTTGAGGACTCTAATAGCATGACACTTATCACGGTGAGTGGTGTGCCGGGGGTAAGGGACCATGGGTAGCGCCTATGGGTCCCGCCGCCGACACAGCTCTCCGCGGGAGCGTCGTAGACCCCCTAAGTTCGCAATCAAGAAAGATAGAACTTAGCCGGAAGACAGCTGATGTCTACGAGTGCTTGTATAGGTCATAGCATGTGGGAAGAGAGTCATTTAGTTAGCTTTCCTAAGGGTCTCGACAGTTAGCCACTGACGAGACACCGATGCGCAGAGGTTTTCACTCCGGCAGGTGTATTGGTAAACACCTCGCAGGAACTGATGTGTATATGGGAGATTTCTACTAGAGTGCGCTGACACCTATAGCCCTTCGGAGACACGGTAATGGTGCCGGGGCAACCTTTACGGAGAAGGGCATACTCACGTTGGTCGGGGTAACCTGATGGGGGAGTTTTTGGTATAAGTCTGACTACTTAAAGATTATACGAGAACTCTCCTACCCCGACACAATCAACATCCTCTCGAGAGACTTTAATTGAGATAAGCCTGAGCTTAACGATATTAAGTTTTACCGTTTTACTTTTATTCTTCATACTTTTGCAAGAGCTGTGTTTGAGAGATTCGAAGTTTGGTGCAGTCGCATCCTTAGGAGCCATCTACCTAAGGGAGCCCCCGTTACACTGTGTGTCTGACGCACAGGATGGACAAGACACAAACCGTTACTCAGGACGCGACATCATGACACCCTGGCGCCCGAACTCCGCGCTTTCTCGTTGCCGCACCCTGCTCCCATCTGGACGTTGCTCCCGACGCCCGCTACGTCCGGACTGTCTATGCTGCACCCCCTCACTGTCCCAATCCCCCGGCACCTGAGCATAGCGCGCTGTAACTACCTAACTCCTCCCGTTCTCCATCCTGATTCCAATTACTGAATCCTCCCCTCTCCTAACTCGGTTAACCGTGCGCCTCACTATCTGGACTCGACGCCCCATCTCTTTGACAACTCTGGGCGGTTCTGGTATGTTCGTCCTCCTATCTGGATGTCTACATAGCACTCTTGGTTGATCTGGATATCATGGTATCTGGTTCCAAAATCCTGATACCCCGTGAATATTTCATCTGTGATCTGAACCATGCCCGGCCCCCATTTCGCTCTGGTATCGTGTTCTCTACGCGCACGTCCGGATTGATAGATTTTTCTCACAATTTCTACCGTTGGCCCTGGTTCTGCTTTCTTCACCTTTGGCTCTTTTACAGTACACAATTGCCTCGTGAACTTCAAGTTTTGTACAAGTAGCTACATGACGTCTATGGAGTTCAGCGTCACGTCATCTCTCTGCAATTTATTCCCTTATTACATGTATTCCTCCCCCTCATCAATTCTCCTAAAATATCCACCTCCCCTCGTCAATTCTCCTCAAGTACCCCCTCCCTCCCCCCTTTGGACGTCCCTACCCTTCCCTCACACGCCCAATGCTGCATAATCGCAACTGCCCGACAGTCCTACGGGCGCCTCTTTCGTGCCTTGTAAATCACTGAAACTCAACGAGAGTCGTGACACCTGAAATGATCTGTCAATGCCGCACTCTAGGGTATCATCCTGGCTGCTTGGGTTACATTGTCGGAACGCTAGTGTTCGAATGTGTGGGTATGGCACTATCTTAATAACTTTGTACGAAAGTACGACACAGTAGTAAGAGTATACTGTGGGCACGCTAAGTGAGGAGGAATTTTGTATGAAGGTAGATTGGTAGTAGTTCTTGTCATTAATTCTCTTAAGCCAGATGGGTGGTAACCCCTATTTATACAGGTGCGCATCCTCCGCGTAACTAAGAGGAAATGTAAGGGAAAACATAAGTGTCGACATGTTTGACCGTAACATAAGTAGGAAAAACATAAGTGCCAACGTGTTTGGCCCTAAAGAACTACCAAGAAAATCCCATAAAACATGCGTAAATCTAAGATGGTGTGAATGGATAATTAAAACATAATTGTAAATCAAATGACCGATGACCGTGCATGATGATATATAAAATGTAAGAAATAAACCCGAACACCAGATAAGAAAAGCACGCCATGATCCCCTAATCGTATCATGAAATATCATTGAAATATACGTAATACGTACTCCGCTGTAGTAATGTCCGTGAACTACAAATAATACTAAGTAGAGGAATATACGATATTATCAAGGAGAATATACATATGAAACGAATTAGAAAATTCAACAGATATTTCTTGTCCTTCAGGCTGGATAGATCTCTGTCTCTCGCTTCCTCCTCCTTCTTCTCTTCTTTCAATACCTCCCTCTTCTTCCTGATTCTTACTAGTATTTATCCTCTCTTCCTGCAATTCGTTACCTTCTCTTATACTACCTATAGCTTCAAGCAAGTGCTTAACAGCTAACGCTACGTCTTCAGTATTGGAACTAGAATCGTATTGGACTAGAGGACGAATATTCGGATATTCACTAAAAAGAGCTTCAAGTTGGAAGAAAAATGCACATCATGATAATAGCTTTTCTAATTTAATTATTTTTTTACTATTAGCTACTTGTATTTTTTATAAAAATAAAAATAATAATAATAATAATTATAATATAAAAATTCTTTGTCAATTACATACCTCGTAGTACCCTTTTCCCTTCACTTAAATCACCCATACTTAATTCCCAACCTGATTGGTTATTAAGCTTTGCTGCCTTACAATAATATTTAAGTAGGTTGTCATATTTGTAACCGACTTTCGCTTCTGGTTTTGTTGGAATCCTGGCCACAATCTCCCTTACTACCTGTTTTTTGGTAATCCCAGAACCCTTTTTCATCTTTCTCAAGTTTTCTGGCCCTTCCAGCCATTGTACCATGGCCTCTGTCTCTGCTGTTGTCCAAATCAAATGTGTAGTTAATGTTGATGGCATGATTGTTCTTTGCTGTCATCGTTGTTGTAAATTATTCTTGATTTCAGAGTTGAAAAAAATTTTCCTCTAATATGCACTAAATCTTACTCCTGATTACATACTTGTATATTAAGTTCCTGTGATGGGGTTCTCAAATATGTCACTAAAAACCTCTACATACTATTGGCTTGTTGTATGAAGTACGCTAATGCAAGATTCCACACCTACTTTTACAAAAAAAATCTTGCTTTTAACTTTAAATACCCCTAGTACGAGTACTCAATACTATTATCTCAACCCTGTTTCTACTCTACCAAACCCCATCTATGCGTAACTTAACTTTATGGCAGGCCGAGAACGGTAGACACGTACTTTCACAGCCACCTTCGTGAACCGCCCGCGCCACATTTCAACGTCATTTCTATTGGCGGTTGCTTGCAAGGAATTGCAGCCTTGACCCTAGACTGACCTGTTGGTCCGCCGTCCATCCTCTTTAAACCCCTTCTAAAGTTACCCCTCCAACCTCATCTACCCCTAGCCACCTCATTCCTACATAATCTAGGTTGCTAACCCTTCCCCACTCCGAATAACAAACATCCACCACTTCCCCTCTCATCACCTCTAGCTTGGTAGGCAGCCTGCCCGTCGCTCATTCGCGATGTCTGGTAGGTTCTTGAACTAGATACCCTCTGTTGACCCGCCCGCTAACCGTCACGATAGTTGACTATTGTATGAAGCCAGAATCGCCATAACCCGGCCATAGCTAACCCCAGACAGATGCAGCCCTGGAGGTCTCTCCTCAAGCAAGCCAGCAAGAAATTCGTGATGCCTACAAGAAGTACGATAGCCGCCCTTTCTTTCCTTCCTCCATGGCCACCACAATCTAATCACCCAAGGTTACAACAGAGCAGCCCTCAAAAACCACCCCGACCGAGTCTCCCACAACGACCCCTCTCGCGCAGCTCGCACCCGGAAGTTTCAACAAATCAACGACGCATACTACACTCTAAGTGACCCTGAGCGACGCCGTGACTACGATTCAAACCGCGCCTACCAAAGCTCCCCCCAGCATGCGCAGAGCAACTGGCAAGACGACCAATTCGCAGGTATCTTCGAAGAGATGATGCGCGAGCAAGGCATGGCCGAGGACACGGGCGAGCAGGCCATGCCCGACAGGAAATTGTGGGGAATCCTTGGAGGACTTTCCGGTGGCGTTATGGGGTTCATTGTAGCGAATGTGCCCGGCATGCTGGCCGGCGCCGTCGCTGGAAATAGGTTGGGCGCTGTCAGGGATTCCAAGGGGAAGAGCGTTTACGAGGTCTTCCAGGAGCTGCCTCAGAGTGATCGTGCGAAGGTGGGTGCCAGAATCTTGCTATCCGCGACGGTGATTGGGGGTGCCATTGCGATCGGGGGGTTGAGGGGAAAGCTGACGAAGGCGGCGGTGATTAGCTGCTTGGCGATTTGGCCGCAAAGGTATTGGCGCACGCTGTTAGCCGTTAGGTGGAACTTCAGGTTTTCGAGATCGAGGAGAGACGATCGTCGGTGACCCTTTCTGGGGCGAGCAGGCGGTTGGTTGACGAGATCTCAAGAGGAGCCCTTCGATGAACGATTTTTATGATGGGACAGGCGTTTTTTTTGTTTTTTTCTTTCGTACACATTTTTGCCTCGACTCTCTTTCCGTCCATTCGTTTGTAGCGCGTTGGTCCCGGTTCCCTGGCGCGGGGTACGGGTACTATGCGTTATGGTCACATTTGTATCGTAATATACCCAGATGATGTGATAATCCATGATGCATTCAAGACTTCAACAAACCCTCCTCGCGGCAGTTGTTCATCACGCTCCAACCCAACCTTGAAGCACCCGATCGACAAGTCGGTAAGAAAAACCATCCCACGAAAGCCAGGCAGCCACAAGTCTGCAAAAAACCGATCGGCATCACCCACTCACACATTCTTTCTGCAAACAAACCACACCCCAGAACTCCTTAGCCTTTACCCCCTACTGGACTTGCATGAGTGCCCCAAGTCCGGGTACAGTTCTGTCTAATAAGTCCTTATATAGTCACTTAGCAACCACATTAGATACTATCCTTTCTACTTCTCCATCCCACCATAGTGCCACCACATACCAAAAGAGTTAGAAAAGACAAAAATAGAGATATTTATGCTCCATACAAGCACACTGACATAGGATCTGATAAAATTTCTAAGCTTATAAAGCTTCCCAAGTCCACTGTTTCTTTAGTTATCAAAAGAGTCTAAAATTATGGTGGTAACATCTATGATACCTCCGGATCTGGCAGACCAACAAAGATTACTAATGCCAAAAGGCAGGTAATTCTGAATATTATTCAAGTTGATGCTCAGCCTTCTTTAGCACTTTGGGATATTATCTAAAATACTAATGTTGGTCTCAGAAATGATACTATTAATAAGATTTCTGATAAAACTGGTTTTAAGCTTAAGCTTAAGATTCTAAGAATAAATCTTTTTTAGAGGAAAGGAGAGAAGGAGAAGAGAAAGAAGTTTACTCAAATATGGAAAAACTAGAAAAGAACTTAGAAGCAGGTGGTTATTATTGAGAAGAGGTTAGTTTTATATTACTACTAGAGCCTTAATATCGACTTACTGTGCAGACACTTAGGCTGGCTTTTAGTTTTCAAAGAAATGGCTTTAAGATATGGTGCGTGCCCTTCAAAACGTACACCAGAAATTAGATAGTTTTCAAATTCTGTTGCATCAACAACCACTCCCATAATCTAAAAAAAAAAACCCAGGCAATACAGAACAGAAGTCAGAGAATAACACCTGGGTTTTTTTATTTAGATTACAAGAGTGGTTGTTGATGCAACAGAATTTGAAATTTTGTATTTTTGGTGGAAAAGTCTGAAAGGTGTTACATCAGCCACACTTCAAAATGCTGAGTAATCAAATTCTTGGTCTTGCAAATAGAGGTTTTCTTATTGTAACCTAATTTTATACTTAATATATACCCTATACCTATCTCATAATCCAAAAATCACTTCCTTGCCATAATAATAATTCTAATTACCCAGTATGATATGATATGCTATCAGAGTAGTGGTCCATAATAATGTTACAAAATCATAGGCATGTTACAAACTATCTAGGCCTGAAGTGAAAAATACATAATAGAGACTGTCTAATACAATCCTCACACTAAAAGCAGTCTTGATAACCCAAACCCTTTAATATAAATCTTAATTTTTCTTTACTAGCTATTTACATAATCAGGTCTTGGCAGTAATTTTACACAGCCACATGTAACACCTGTATTTCAGCCTCGTGTATGTTTTGAAGAGCACGCACTATAAATATATGTTTATTTCTTAATATATATAATTTTTATTATATAAATATTAAATTTAAATATAGGATTCTTGAGTTGATATAATATTTTACCTCATATAGGTACTAACTTGAATAAGGCTAGTAGTGTACTAATAGACTCTTAGTTAGTAATTTTATAATAGGTATAGTTCAATTAGTATAACTTTCAGTTAAGGCCAATACTTGAAAATAAGGTAGTAGATAAAATAAGAGGTAGGATAATACCATCTTGCAACTATATGCAATATGAATAAAGCACCATTGTTACTGTATTATCTTAAGTTATACAGTTTTTTGTTAAGAGCCAAGATGTACTAATAGATATGACATATAGATCAGACAAGATGAAAATAACCTTAACCCTGAAAATCACAAAGTAGAAGAGAGTTGAATAGGCAAAAAAAAAAAGTATGTGAAATAGAACTCCAAATAAATTATAAACATCCTGCAAAAAAATCAAATACAATTTTAGCTTCTTTGTAGTCCTAAAAATCTATATCCCACTTATGCACTACTGTGTTTTGTATCAGAAAGCAGAAAGTAAACTTTAAAATCTTAGAAGTAGTTGTAAAGGATTACATTTAAAGATACAAGGTTAAGGACTCAGGACTCAGGAGCCTTCTATATATTCACAGTAAGGTAAAGTAATAGTATTATAAAACCTAAAAAAATGTAGTATTAGACTTGGGAACTAATAAGAAATAAATCAAGATTTAATAAGAAAATACATCTAGAATTCCAACATAGTACCTCCACTAGGCTCAGGTAGGATAGGTTGAAGAATATAAAGAGTTATCAATAGGATAATAGGTATAGTTCTTACAAGTACAAAAAGATTTAAGAGAATCATGGTTAGCAGTTTCTGATAAAAGTAGTCAGTAGAATTCTGAAGGATGATGTATAGGTGGTAACAGGATATTCAAGTTCCAATCTCCAACTACAATATTATTAAAGTCTTTAATATGAATATCCTAATTTTGACTACTATTAATCAGCAAAGTAACTCCAATATCTTAAACGACCTTTGTAATTAATTTTTTTTCTCCTGTTGAAAGAGTCTATACTTTACCAACCACATAAGTAACCATAATTCGCTTCTTATGAGTAGTTTATTTCTGAATACTAGATTGCTTTTGAAGAGTATATGCATCTATATATTATTGCAGGTATTGCTTAAAAGATTTATTAACTACCATATCTAGAGGTTGTAAGAGCACAGTACATCTAGAAGTAATAAGAGATATAGTAATTGAGGCTGAGTAAAGCTTTTAAAGAACTTCAGTAGTAGTATAAAAGTCAGCAATATCGATTAAGTAAAGACTTTCTCTTATATCATCAAGGATAGTGCTGGAAGCTTTCTGTAGAGTAGGAACTAATTCTTTATCAATGAAACATAAAAAGAGCTCTTTATTATTGTACAGTCAGTTGTCAGAAGTGTTCATGATCTGAGACCTGTTTAATTAGCAGTTGTGCCATACCTGTGGTGGGGTACCGGTAGTGGGGTACTGGCCATGCGTTGTCAAGAAGCAAGCACTCCTGTACTCAAGTAAACGATCACCCAAATAATCACCCCAATCATTAACTAAACCCCATAGCAATAAATAAATAAATAAATAGAAATAATACTAGCTAGTACTTTGTATAACCTCTCCTTGCCCCCAAAACTGCAGCTACCCTATCAGGCATTGATTTCTACAACTTCTCAAAAAAACTCCTTAGGAATTGTCTCCCAAACTAATGGTAATACATGTGTAAGCTTCTTCTTGACAGCTTTCTTTCCTCCTGGGGTATCTCCAATCCTTGGATACTGCTGGTGTAGGTGCTTTTTAAGCTCAACCCATACATGCTCAATAGGATTCAAATCAGGGGAATAAGGAGGATGTTCTTCAACTTCAATACAGTTTCTCTCCAACCAGTCCATAACATTATAAGCCTTGTGAACAGGAGCATTATCATGCTGGAAGAGAATATCTTGCATACCAAAAGATATCATTTGGTAAATAACAGGAAAAAGATGTTTTCTTAAGAGCCTAACATACCTGATCTTATTGATATTTTGAGTGATAGGAACCAAAGGACCTTTTCTCTTGCCCTAAAAGCATCTCCAAACTATAAGTGAAATTCCTTTATCCTTCTCTTTTGGATGAATGCAATCAGCCATCCACTTCTCCCAAGGTTCTCTGAAAACCCATTGCTGCCTTAGATCTCTGGATTTCTCTATACTATACTCATCACTCCAAATAACTCCTTCAAAATCCTTTACTGTCCAATCCTTGTGCACTGTAGCCTACTTCAACCTCTTAGCCACATGCTCAGGCTTGAGCTTAGGTCTTGATTTTGCAAGCCATTTTTTAATATTGACGTCTCTGAGTACTCTATCCACTATAAAGTTTAGGTAGATTTATTAGTCAATCATATTCTATCACTCAGCAGTAGCTAATAGGGAAGAGCTAATTACTGGTTGCCAGAGAAACACCCGGTGCATATTTATCCCTGAAATCAGATCTGGTCATTTTCTGGTTGGATTTTGCTGCCCAGACAATTGTGCAATACTGCTGAAGGCTCAGAAGGGGTGTGCGACCAGGGCAAGGAACATTTTCTACTGACTGATGCTGACATGCTCAGATAAGAAAGCTCTTAACTGTTGTGCATGGCCGTCCAATGGTTTGAGCAATAATGCTAATGTTCCAGAGGCAGTAGAAAAAGTCAATTATTATGCCTTTTTCAATATCAGTCATTTCTCTTCTTGAGATTTTTGGAGTATACTTTTTTTTTTTGGTAAAGACTTTAAATAACCAGACTGGTAAACCATAGCTCAAAGGACTTGGATAGTGAAAGGTATAAATGGTTGTAATTATGGATGCGATCACAGTCGCGAGCATTCTGAGTCCGGTAGAGGGAATGAGTTGTCCTTTTTTTTTTTTGCAAGGTAGCTTAGTAAGCCAAGTCACATTTCACGAACACTTCTGACAACTGACTGTAGGTAGGTTCGTTAAACTCAACACGAACTCCAGAATGTCAGTGCTATTACTTTCTTTATCTTATAGTTCCTCAGTCACCACTCTTTCTATAGAATATAATCTTAGGCTTAATGTGTATAATACTACTAGTAAAGATATAGAGAATAAGTATAGCTTATCTTTTATCCTAGCCACTCTGGTCAGTCTTTTCTGATATTATCTTGCTCTCTCTAAGGTTATAAGTATGACCATCTAAATACTCAAATAGAATTAGAATATTATCTAAATTAAGTAT